ATCTGGTGGCTAGCTGATCAGTTTGATGCTTGTTATTTCACTTTGTCCTCAGTTCTGGTATGATTTATCTTCTTGTTTGGGTACTTTGTTTGCTGGTTTGAGTATCGGTTCTCTTGAGGGTGAGTCTTGGGCTCCCACGGCTTTCTTTGTTGATTGTTGTGTCTGTTCAGTTGAGTAGCTGTGTGTGTGAAATTTGTTTAGAGTTGAATAAAGTTTATCTTTCTTGGTAAAAAAAAAAAAAGTGTATCAATGTTTTTCCAATAACTTGGTATTTGATACAGATAAATATGACTATGTTTCGTTTTGTAGATCTTTGGGTGATTTTAAGCAGACGGTGCGTAATAAGGCACATCCAAAAGGATCAATTGCAGAAGCATACATTGTGAAAGAGTCTTTGACCTTTTGCTCTATGTACTTAAGAGGTATTGAAACAAGATTTAATTGAGATGAGCGGAATGCTGATATTTCTATCAGTGATAGTTTGTCAATGTTTGCACAAAAATGTCGCCCTTTTGGTGCATCAAACTTTGTGGAGCTATCAGATGAAGAATTTGATGTCATTCAGTGGTTTGTTTTTCAAAATTGCGAGGAGGTTGAGCCATATATCAGGAAAGTACATAATTATAATGTTCTTATAATTTGAGTTATTATATGTAATTTTAACCTCTTATTTTTTATCTGTACATAGAAAACACAAGGAAGAGCTTGTTTTAGTTGGTTGTCGAGATATAGAGAAGGAGCATAAATATCACTTTCCTGGATGGTTTAAGAATCATGTGAGTTATATTTGTATGATTTTTATTATTCTTTAAAAAAAATACATTGATATATTTATTGAAATTATTTATGATCATACAGATGGTTGAATTGTATCAGAAAGAGCCCTCACAAGTCCATGAATCGTTGTATTCTCTTGCTTGTTCGCCTAATAGATGTATAAGAAAATATACTGGTTGCATTGTTAATGGAGTGAAATATCTGACGATAGAACGTGATGGTCGTTGGCAAACTCAAAATAGCGATGTTATGGTAGAAGGGAATCACGGTGATGATACCATTGATTTTTACGGTACTGTATCTGAAATTATTCAGTTGGAATATGTGAGAAACCGGAAAGTGGTTATATTTAAATGTGATTGGTTTGATCTTGGACGGAAAATGACTGGGCTACAAAAGGAAAGAAACATTATTAGTGTTAATGTTGCGAGGAGATGGTATCAAGATGATCCATACATATTTGCTGATCAAGCCAGACAAGTTTTCTATCTCAATGATCCTAAACTCGGAAAAGATTGGCGAGTTGTGCAGCCTTTTCAACATCGTCATGTATATGATGTGGATGAGATGGATGAAGAACATGCGACTGGTGACACATTAGTAGCAGATGTTGCATATCAAGAGAATGACATCGGGGGTGATTGTCGAGTTTCTCTTGATGAAGTTGCATCATTAAATAGATACGACGTGGATCAGGAGGATCTGATGGAGTTGATCATTCAAACGTTACCCGAGAAGGAGGCTACAAACATAGAGGACGTCAATGAGAACGATGAGCTTGATGATATCGACTGGTAATTTAATTATTTTTTTTTTACTTTTTTTTTGTTTTCAAAATATTAATTGGAAATAAATATGAGTATGATATGATAGTGCAAAAATGAGAATAGCTGATTTCTTCATGTACATGCTGATGTTAGTATAAGAATAGCCATTTTCTTTGAATATGTTTTGAAATGTATGTTTTATGTTTGAACAGAGGAAGAGGCATAGGAAGAGGCCCATGAGTTCAATGGAAGGGACTTGAAGAATTTATCAGAACTTTTTAGCTGCTGAGATTTGAAAAAAAGAATTTAGTTGATTTTGAAATGTGTTTTCTTGGTTGCTGCTGGGATTTCATTTTAATCTAGCACATTTAGGCCATCAAGCTATATGGTCTGGTTTGGTCTGTTAGGAATGTGATGGTCGTTGAACTTTTTTTTTTTTTTTTAATTCTTATGGTTTGTGTAGTTGGGTTAGTTTCGTTTTAGGAAACCGATGTTGGGTTCCAATTTGTAGTTTGGATGTTATTTAATCGTAAGCGTAATTTTAAATACCTACAAACAGTGACGACTCTTATTTGTCACATGGAATTTCATCATTTTTAATATAAAGGTGACGAATGTTTAGTGTTTGGTTAATTTCTTAGGGGACAACACTTTCTCTGGTTTCCCGTCTCCTGATTTCCTGCTAGATTGGTAGTAGGGAGTTTGGATTGCATTCAGTTGTATGTTGGTTCTATGCTTTTGAGTTTCGTTTAATTGGATCTCTTATCCATTTTGGGAAAAAAAAAACAAAGCTAAGCAGCTGGAGGATCTTGTTTCTCAATTGGACCTGTTTCTGTTTTTGAGGATCCTGAAAATTAAAGAAACTATTCCAATTGCACCCAAGAAAGATATATAGGAAAAATATCCGACAAGGAGATATGCAAATCTCAGCCTGACTTCCCACAGAGGGATGCCCAAAATTGGAAACAGATGAAATTAAATTCAGGCTTCAAATCACATGCTCCATGAACCACAACACCAGCACAAAGTACAGAGTCCCAACTCAATGTTGTTAAATCATCTTCCATATTAACTTCATTTAGCATTCTTGAACAAAAATGCAACTTTCAGAGTCAAACAAGACAAATAACACACAACCAAAGCACTCAACCATTTTACACAAGCACCTTGTAAGTAAAATCCAATATATCATATTCCTTGTACAACCAGAAAGAACAAATGATAGAGAACATAATGCATATACAGAGTAGAACTGCTATTACAATGCTCAACTATTCAATGTTACCTCAACATGAACTTATAGTAATACTTACACTTAATATCTCCACACGCCTCAACCTATCATACCTAATCCTAACCAGCCACACTCCTCAACCTATCATGCCTCATCCTAGCCAAATACCATATCCAGGAAAGCAGAGACGTTATGAGGTGGAAATTCGGCTTGTTCCTCTTGAGGCTGAACACGTTGTATTCCACGCCGAGCATGTACTCGCTATGCATTATTTTTGAGTTGCGTGATAAAAGGGGAGAGCTTCAAAAATCCCGATGTCAATAAAAAGGCTAAGAGCGATAGTTTCACTATCGCGACCGAGCACTAACAATTTATTCAGTTGATCTCAAAGAGCCAACCGACCGAGCACTAACAATCTATAAGTTAGCATGAGCAGCAGCAACATCCTAAATGGATCGATCGGAAAGAGTTGCCGAAATCTGAGCCGGCGAGCTTCTAGGCGTGATGATGACTCTACCGAGCCTCTACACCGGCTTGGCCGATGACCGGACCTCCATCGAGAAGTGGCTGTACCACCCCCAACCTCACCCTCCACCGTCTCGTCGACCTCAAGATAACGCACGATCCCCACCTAAGTCATCGTCCTCGCCCACGATTTCGAGCACCAATTGGGAAATGATATCGAGTTCCAGACTGAATTCTTCTTCCCTCGTGAAATTGATTCAGTTTTTAGGTTGTAATTGGGAGATGAGATCGCCACCTCCGTCCTCGTTCTCGCCGCCTTCATCCTCGTCCTCGCCGCCCCTGTCCTCGTCCTCGGCGACAATTTCGAATACCAAGTGGCAGACGTCATCAATGGCGGAGGATTGATGCAGTTTTTAGGTTAGATATTGGGAGATTAGATTGAAAATTGAGATTCTTGGTGTGGAGATTGTTGGGCCTTTGCGGATTACTGAGGTGAATTTTGGCTAGGTTTTGCTCTGCGATTTAGGATTGAGGGAGATGAATAGAGAATGAGGTACGGTTTTGGGGTTGTGAGTTGTGATATCTTTTCATTTGTTTTTTCTTTTTTTTTTTTGGTTTAAATTGGTATTTTTTGGAATCTTAATGATTTTAATTATTAAATAATACTAGATATTATGAAAGCCTATNCTTGGGCAAAAAAAAAAAATGATAAATTTAACCGAAGGTAGTTTCAAGAGTCAAGATTACTAAGGATAATTTTAATTATTAAATAATACTAGATATTATGAAAGCCTATTTATAAATTTCATAAAAATTTCATACTATTTACTAAATAATGATAAAATATAATGCATGATAAACATAGTCGTCATAAATTATGTGGCTTTAAGGACGACAGTAAATGGTGTCATGAATAGAGTATTATTTGGTCACATGGAACTTCGTCATGTTTCGTATGAAGTGACGAATTTTTATGTATTATAATGTTTCATCACAGTAAATAATAATATAGTGACGAATTAATCATAAGCGTCACTTGAAATACCAACAATAGTGACGAAACTGTTTTGTCAAATGGAACTTCGTCATGTTTCGTATGAAATGGGACGAAGTTTTATATATTAAAATGTTTCGTCACATTAACCAACAATATAGTGAAGTATTAGTCGAAAGCATCATTTTAAATATCTACAACAGTGACGACACTGTTTTGTCACATGGAACTTCGTCATTTTCTATACAAATTGTGACGAATGTTTGTGTATTATAATGTTTCGTCACATTAAATAATAAAATAGTGACGGATTAATCGAAAGCGTCATTTTAAATAACAACAATAGTGACGACGCTGTTTTGTCACACAGAACTTAGTCATTTTGCGTATGAAATGTAACAACTTTTTATGTATTACAATGTTTCGTCACATTAAATAATAATATCGTGACGAATTAATCGAAAGCGTCATTTTAAATACCTACGACAATGACGACTCTTTTTTGTCACATGGAAGTTCGTCATTTTTGGTATACAATGTGACGATTTTTCAAGTATTATAATGTATCGTCACATTAAATAATAAAATAGTGACGATTTAGTCGTAATCGTCATTCTAAATACGTACAACAATGACGACTTTTTTTTGGTCACATGGAATTTCGTCATAAATTGTATAAATGTGACGAATTTTTATTTATAAGTGGCGTTTGAGAAAAATCGTCATAAAAAGTTAGATTATGTGACGAGAAAACCATTCTAAGATGACGAATGGAACAGTCGTCACCGTAGTCAATGGTATAATGACGAATTTTAAAAGTCGTCACCGAAAGGCCACATATGGTGACGATTATTTATTCGTCACACGAAATTCGTCGCTTTTTCACAGATTTCTTGTAGTGGGGGCGTTCTATGACTATTATGATGGCTACTTTGACACTTGTTTTGTCCCTAACAGCAATAAAATTCATGTCCCATTCATGTCATTCACCTTTCAGAATAACCTGCAAGTCGATTTGGATGCTTCCGGAACACTTTATGTTATCAACAAATCGCTAATCTGCCTTGCTTTCACCAATGGCGGCGGCGATTTGGCTAGTTTCGGTAACGCTCAGCAGAAGACATCCGATGTCATACACGATGTTGTCGGCCAGAAATTAGGGTTCCGCCCCGGCATGTGTACTTACTGCTTTCACTGCATTACAAATACGCTCAATCATTTCACCTCTTACTGTAATAAATGATGATTTTTTTTTGTTTTCATTTTTTTTTATAAGAATATAAAGACTTGCAAGTCAACTATTTACTACTTGTTTCTTGTCTTTTTCCGGTTTATTTTCCTATCCTTCTTACCTATTCTAACCATTAGGCTCATTATCAATATCATGGTTTTTCCACTTTATATTCCTTCTCTTCTCATGTGTTCTATCCAACTGACCACTTTCATTACCTATTAATCTAACCAATAGGCTCATTATCAATATCTTGGGTTTTCAACTTTATATTCCTACTCTTCTTATGTATTCTATCCAACTCAAATTCATTCAATCCATTGGTTTGAATATACTAGTTAAGTGCACCTGCTATTCACATGGTGGTGAATGTTCTTTACCAATTAAAAATTTAGTATATTAAATTAATTAATTTATTAAACATATTTTTACATAAACGAAATAAAATGTACGACAAATGATCTTCTAATATTTTTTTTTTCAAAAATAACATAATGATGTTCTAATATAAAATAATGAAATAAAATATCACAAGGCCAACAAAAATATGTAACTTTTCGAAAGGATGAGTGATTTCTTGAAAATTTTGAAATGCTTATATAATCCTCAAAAGATGTTATTTTTAAGGACATAAATGTAATAAGTCAAATTCGAGTGGACAATGATGTAGCTCTTCCAATCACATTAAAATATAAATTCGAACCGTCAATACTATCCCCAAGAAAAAGAAATGCAAGTTTTGTTTGAAGTATATAAACTAGTGAGTATCTCGTGCAATGCACGGCGGACTTGTTTCTTAAAACCATTTTTTAAAACTTTATTTCAAAAATATATTAGCTTGCTAACCATTTATTTTAATAAATAATATTTTAACATCTATTTTTATTGGTTGATATAGAAAAATAATAATTTTTCTTATTTTTGTTCATTATAATACTCAATTATTATTTCTTTAAAAAAATATTGTCATATAGTTTCAT